CAAGTTTTTGTCCACAATAGTCATAATGCTTCCCCTACAATTGATGCGCAAGACCAGTGCTTGCTTTGCAACAAAGCCACACCTGCACCCAACTACCGTTTAATGTTGAATGACTATGAAGGATAATGAGTACAGTCAATTTTTATTGGTAAGGCTTTTAATTATTAATTCTAATTATTAGTCAAACAATGAATATATAAATATAAAACTTAATCTAAAATAAAACAAAACTTATTTCTCGTAGAGTTTAAATTTTAAAATAACTATTTGGTTTCAGAGAAATCAATATAAATACCAACTATATTAATAAATAAAACATTTCAAATCAAGTATAGGTATCTTGATATAATAATTTGATAAATACCAAACTATATGTTGATTAATTACATTTAAGTGGAATAATGAATCATTAAATTACAGTGTTTTGGTTTCATTTATTGAGGACTGTAATTTACGTTWGAAGTTAATGAGTATCTTCTTGATCACAACGTTTGATTTTTATACAAAGTACACGCTCAAACTCTATATTATTTTTGACACATTTACTAAGCATTTTTTCATTGCCATTTTTCGGTAATTTTAATGCTGTTTTATTGTTTAATTTTCCAATTTGAGTATTATCATTGTCAAACATATTTGTGGAGTATGAAACATTTTGGTTTTGGTCAAATACCTTTAGATTAGAAATTTCATTCCTTTGAGAAGCTGTTGAATCATTTCTCTGTTTAGTCAGGTTTTCCATAATATTTTGTGAGTATTGTTTGTGCTGAATAACACTAGAGTTTGAAATATTTTTTTTAGGTTTAGCATGCTTAACATCCATAGATCGAAGCCTTCTTGTACAAATACTTCTTAAAGGCTTTATGTATGTATAACAGGATTTGTTTTCCTTTACTTTAGGAAGATTTAATATAATATTAGATATTGCTTTATGTAAATATATAATGTTTATATTTTTACTGTATTCAGTAATATCAGCTAATGAATGCCAATTGTCAATATTATCACATATTTTATTCCATTTTCCTGGGCCAAAAACTCCTGATGGATAAGGTTCATATTGAAGTCTTCTGTGGACATTCTGTAAAACAAAAATCATATTATATTAATTAATCTAAAAATATATTATTGCATACAGTTTATTCAAACACTGATTTTTAAATGATTTAAAAGTGAGATATAAATAAACAAAATATATCACATAAAAAGTCCATTTTACTTACATTATCTACTGGTAAGTTAGTAGATAGATCAAATGATTTCTCAAAATCTTCTCTATATAATTTATTGTTACCAAAATACCAATACACTGATTTATTCAGATCATAACCTAGTGGTTTTACGTTTAACATGTGCCATATATTAGGACTATTGGAGAGTTTATTTTGAATATGCTTAACATCAAGAATAAAATTACAAAAAATGTAAAGAGCTTCAACTTTTTGTTTACGTGTCAAATCATCAAAATATGTTGCTGAATCTAGTGAATACTTAAAGTTGTAAACCTGAAAAATATACATAGTACCTAATTATTATATTTATTTTTGATCATTAAAACTTTTTTAGTAATTAAAACAATATGCATCAACAAAATAATAGTAWAACTTATTAATTCAATATAAAAAGTTAATGGAACTTTTAATTTACAAGAGATTATTTATAATGACAAATATATAACTACTGCCTGCCTTCATCATATGTCTATAACATAATTATTTGTTTTYTTAATTTAAAAAAAAAAATAAGAAAATAAGAATATAATATGATAAAAATAAAATTAAAATAAGTTTATAACAAAGACATGCTATATTTGATTAAAAATCACATACAAATTATGTTTGGGAATGTAACTTGATTGTATCCAAAATAAATATGCAAGTGTGTTAAGTTCCAGGACTTAATATTTATATGTTTTAAAAAAATTAATTTATAAATGGTTTTAAAATTAACAACATAATTATATTAATATTAACTTACAATGCATTCACTCTGAAATTTTTTTTTCATGACATTCCACCATTCATTTGTATTTGGATCATAAAAACCACAAACTTTGGTAAATCGGATAGCCATATCAGTCAACAAATATGAATTCTCTTTAATTGCATTTTCAAATTCCTGTAAATTTGTTTTTATTAAAAACAGTAAAATAATTTTTTAATAATAGCTACACTCTTATGAAATATTTACTTATTATGTTAAGTTAGATAATGTAACATTTTAKATGAGTATATTCAAATATATTTAACAATGTATCTATCATGTTTTTTGGTCATTATTATATAATATGTTTTGGTTAGGCATGTCTATGGATTTAAAATATTTTTTTTTTTACTAACTAACTACTAAACCAAGCCAATAGTAGTAAAATGTATCATATATATAAAACAAAATATGGATTCATATTAAATCTCTAAAACACACAATTTTAACTAAATTATAAGAACAATTGATTTTTTTAAATACAAATATTTATAAAAGCTTCAACTACTCATTATATTAATACATTTTGTTTTAAAATGTAGCATAGTAATACATTAAAAACATTAAAAATATATATGTATCATATTATTATAACAATATAATATAGGTATTAAATTTTTGTAAAATACTTTTAAGCTCTACTGTTAACATTTTTTTCGCATGATTAGAATATTATTTTTAGCGTAACATTTTTAAACTTACATTTGTGTCTATTTTGCTGATATCTTTAGTGATGTGGGTGAAAACCTTACAAAAATGTACAATACTTGGTATCTCCCACCAAGTTTGAATTTCTGAAAAATAACTTATTATTATTACCTATATTATGTAATTCACTCATGAATCATAAAAAGTAAACATCAAATCACATTAGAATTGAAGAAACAACTATGAGTAACTGAGTCTAAAATTTAAATTAAGCTTAAGGATTGCCACAAAGAAATCTTATTTTTTAAACATCAGAACAAAAATGGAACACAACTCATTAACTATAGTTTAGTGATTGAAAAAAATGTTAAAAATTGAATACAATTAATATBAATATGAATAGGTATGTCATTTTTTTTTGTAAATATATCTATTTATTTGTTACGCAATTTTAAATATATGATTAGTGTAATATAATGTAGGTAATATACATACATTCATTATACACTTTCAGCCCCATTTTACTAACATGTTAACTGCCAGCAGTCATCTGTAAGTTTTAAATTGTATACTATTGTGACCGCTGCACCCGCAGCTGATCAATTTACCATGTCAAGTGACAGCCAGTGGCCATATATGATTATGGTTTTAAATAATTAACTTTTTTATAACACTATAATAATGTACTAAAGAGTGTGAGGTAGAGCAGGAATAATTAAAATTTATTTTATGAAATAAACATATTATTTTTATGTTTTTTTTTTGTATTTTTAAATGTTTTTTTTCCAAACAAATTKATATAGGTACTTAGACAAAATAGGAATACCATGGAAAAATATGTTAAATGTAGCAATAATAGACATAGTGTAACCACCGGTGATCACATGGTAACACTATTGAGTTAAATAATGAATTTATTCAAATTTAAGATTTTTAAGTTTTTAATTGCCTACCTAAAATACAGGAGAATATTTTCTAATGCTTAGATTTTCTAAGCCATTTATAGAATAYCTGGTGTAGATGTCAACTTTTTTTTAAATGAAAATCATACTTTACTTATCACATCAAATTAAATGAATTAAATGAAAATTTTGGTTGCACTCGTCTAAACATGGACACAGCTAGGGTATTTAAATCACAAAGATTATGTATAGGTACCTAGTTTATTAAGTGACAGTCACGCTTTTTAAAGTTAATTAAATAGAAGTGCACATAACATTCACAGTACCCAATTGTCCCAATTTTATAACTATATTGATTTATATCTGAATTCTGAATAGATTCATTTAGATTTGAAAACTACCAACAACAAAATAAACAATTACGAATTGTAATTTGAAAATGTTTAAAATAAGCCGCAAAATCTAATAAAAATGGAGGGAAATTATGAATTGTTGTTTACAAGACGTGATACACAGATCGTTAGATCGTAGACTTATTAAGAACTTTATAGGCTTGCGGTATTGATACGCAACACGATGTTACGATTATAAATGTTATATTTTTCGACGTCGAGTAAATAATTCTCGTAACTAATTAACGTATTAATAGGTACTCACCGTCATCCATTRTAATAATCTGACGAAAAAGCGTTGAAAAAAGTGATTTAACCGACCGACTCTGTATAGTGTATATATATTACATGGACGTCAACGAAAAATAATTATAATTATATTTTTGTCAGTTGTCACCGTTAATTATTATGATTGTAGTTGAAATCACATCCTGCTAAATCACGGAGACTAGTCACGCCTAACATTACCGGTCCAATCAGTGGGCCCTCAAAACACGTATTAATGACAATATTGTTAAAACCGCGGTCGCTGAAGTAGGTACGAAGTACTATAATTCCGCGCACACGCGAAGAGGGTGTTATCGAGGAAAAAACCTGTTTTAGACGGCGAACCGATCAATGACCACGTTCACAACTACGTGCGCGTTGTGTACTACTACANTCTAAACATGGACACAGCTAGGGTATTTAAATCACAAAGATTATGTATAGGTACCTAGTTTATTAAGTGACAGTCACGCTTTTTAAAGTTAATTAAATAGAAGTGCACATAACATTCACAGTACCCAATTGTCCCAATTTTATAACTATATTGATTTATATCTGAATTCTGAATAGATTCATTTAGATTTGAAAACTACCAACAACAAAATAAACAATTACGAATTGTAATTTGAAAATGTTTAAAATAAGCCGCAAAATCTAATAAAAATGGAGGGAAATTATGAATTGTTGTTTACAAGACGTGATACACAGATCGTTAGATCGTAGACTTATTATATAAGAACTTTATAGGCTTGCGGTATTGATACGCAACACGATGTTACGATTATAAATGTTATATTTTTCGACGTCGAGTAAATAATTCTCGTAACTAATTAACGTATTAATAGGTACTCACCGTCATCCATTGTAATAATCTGACGAAAAAGCGTTGAAAAAAGTGATTTAACCGACCGACTCTGTATAGTGTATATATATTACATGGACGTCAACGAAAAATAATTATAATTATATTTTTGTCAGTTGTCACCGTTAATTATTATGATTGTAGTTGAAATCACATCCTGCTAAATCACGGAGACTAGTCACGCCTAACMTTACCGGTCCAATCAGTGGGCCCTCAAAACACGTATTAATGACAATATTGTTAAAACCGCGGTCGCTGAAGTAGGTACGAAGTACTATAATTCCGCGCACACGCGAAGAGGGTGTTATCGAGGAAAAAACCTGTTTTAGACGGCGAACCGATCAATGACCACGTTCACAACTACGTGCGCGTTGTGTACTACTACARTGGTAGTAAACACAACCACACAAGTCACAACTTTACTCTGTCACAGTTCACAGACGTCACACGTCACAGTAGATACTCAAAACCTATATTATGGTTCTTTTACTTATACACASCAATACACCGGCCCTCTTCACGTTTCCGCCAGAAGTATGTCAAGATACTAGATAGGTGTCATAGATATAAGTATATAAATAATTAAGACCTGCACCGGCCGGGTTCTATGAAATGCAAGACGGGYCGGGCCGGACCATTTTTTTGAACAAGCTACGGCGGTTACGGGCCGTGCCGGGCTTCTACACCAGAAATTCTAGAAAGACCAAAATTATAAAAATATATAGAAGAACCTATAAATAAAATATAATAGTGTAAAATAACAACAGGACTAGACGTGTGACGATGGCATTACCTAACTATTTATAACCGCGTGTTTTGATAAACCAGAAAACGCGTCACACACTACAGCGGTGGCCATAGCCGTAATCTGGGGGGGGCAAGATGGGGCAACTGCCCCTCCAGATATTTAATTGAGGGGGCAATAGTATCGTTTCCCCCCCCTTTAAAAGTTATAACTTATAATTCAATTTCTGTTTTATCTTAGCAAAATTAAACAGCATAATGGATTTGTATAATAATTAATAATAATATATTTATCGTTTTGACTTTTTGAGTGCCTAAGATTATTATTTATTAATAGTATCATTATAAACCGACTACCTACCGACTACTGAGCGCCTTCATATCGTAATACAAGGAATTGCAGATAGATGACAGTCGTAGGCATGGCGGGTTATTAGTTATTTATCACAATAGCACAATGCGAACTAAGATTAGTTATATATATGCATTTTTAGTTTTACTACTGCTTGCCCCCCCCCAGGATTGACTCCAAGTTACGCCACTGGCGGCTTTATTTTGCCGTAACCGTCACAGCCACTGCCACCTCAACGTGTTGGTGCAATCATTATTTTACTATAGAAACATATATACCTATATATATAAATTGCAAAAATCAAACTGCTCGACTTAAACAAATGGTTTTATTAACTTTTTTGAAAATTTAAATTAATTTAATAAAACTACTAAAATAGACTGCTAAAAATGCATTAGGTCTAATATTAAGAACCTATATAATATATAATGTTTCATTTTCAAATTAGAAAAAAAATATCATTTGTATATACCAATACTCGATAGTTGATAGTGTATTTTATGTTAACGGCATTATTAAGCTGTAGCTTGAAGAAATACCTAATAAYTAAAAATTTAATAAATTATGAACGTCATTTACATTGATATGCATAATATACTGCATGTATCTGCCAGCAATTAAAATTTCTTGAGTTTTAAACCACCAATAAAGTTAATAAGTATTTTCAGTGCATAATTTGTGAACGGAAACACATAAATGCATAGGCACCAACTATATAATTATAAAAGTATCGGTTGCATAACATATAGATTCGTCTCGTATAATATGAATTACAGTGCAGTATAAGAATAATACATCATAATAAACGATAGGTATTTAAATGATTGGCAATGATGCATATATTATGCATGATTGCATGAATATTATTTATAATTCGGGGCCTGATCATAGGCGCAACTAGGGAGGGTTCTTAGCACCACCAGATCAAAAACACCAAAAATGGAAAAANCTGCTAAAAATGCATTAGGTCTAATATTAAGAACCTATATAATATATAATGTTTCATTTTCAAATTAGAAAAAAAATATCATTTGTATATACCAATACTCGATAGTTGATAGTGTATTTTATGTTAACGGCATTATTAAGCTGTAGCTTGAAGAAATACCTAATAAYTAAAAATTTAATAAATTATGAACGTCATTTACATTGATATGCATAATATACTGCATGTATCTGCCAGCAATTAAAATTTCTTGAGTTTTAAACCACCAATAAAGTTAATAAGTATTTTCAGTGCATAATTTGTGAACGGAAACACATAAATGCATAGGCACCAACTATATAATTATAAAAGTATCGGTTGCATAACATATAGATTCGTCTCGTATAATATGAATTACAGTGCAGTATAAGAATAATACATCATAATAAACGATAGGTATTTAAATGATTGGCAATGATGCATATATTATGCATGATTGCATGAATATTATTTATAATTCGGGGCCTGATCATAGGCGCAACTAGGGAGGGTTCTTAGCACCACCAGATCAAAAACACCAAAAATGGAAAAATCGTATGAAAAAATATGAAATAATATATTATGTAAACATATTATTATGATGAATTATATAGATTTAATTATAAAACAGTGATGCCCAACCTTTTTTGTTTGGCGTGCCACTTTGGTTAATAATCATCTTCGAGCGGGCCACTAAATATAAAAAGTACGAATAATCCCAATCTTAATATAATAATATAATTTTGTTATATATATGTGTACAATAAATATGGCGTATATCTTATCTTTTATTGATTATTGAAAAGATTATGGATTAAGGTATACATTGTAGATGCATACAACGATCAGTCTGCTCTTCTAAGTGCATAGGTAATAGCGATCGTAAAATTTTTATTTAAAAATGTCCGACAGAAAAAAGCGTAAATATAATGAYGATTGCCGAATTTTCATTGAGAAATGGTCAATAAATTACATTTTTATTGAAATTAATGGATAGTGATGTGGTGTACCATAACCATATTCGATGGTTAAGTCGGGGAAAGGTTTTAAAACGATTTTATGATTTACGAGACGAAATTGATGTATTCATGATCGATAAGGGAAAAGAAATTGCTGAACTTTGTTGTGGGATTTAGCATTTCTTGCAGATGTAACAACACATTTAAATATGTTAAATTTAAAATTACAAGGACCTGGAAAAYTCATATTTGACATGTATAATTCTATTAAAGCATTTGATGCAAAATTAAAATTATTTATTAATCAAATTGAGCGAAGTGACTTTAGTCATYTTGAAAACTGCCAAATATTTAATGATAAAACGAAATCATTATGTTCAACAAATCGATTTGTAGAAATGYTRCAAACCGATTTTTCATCTCGATTTTCAGACGTTAATTTACATCAAAAATCGTTGCGTTTATTTGAAAATCCATTTATTATTGATGAAAATTATGTCGATATATCTCTTCGGCTTGAACTTATTGAGTTGAAAACAAACTCATTTTATTGTGATGAATTTCAAAAAATGAAAAAAAATGATATTTTAAAATTTTATTCTCAACTTCCACAGGAAGATTGCTCTGCTTTAAGAAACGTTATAATGAAAATGGCAACTGTATTTGGCTCGACGTATATTTGTGAACAATTATTTTCTCGAATGAAACAAATAAAATCAGTTCA